TTAAGACAAGAATGCTTCCAAGGATCACCATGCCTTATCTAGACTTAATGACAGATAAGAGAGAAGACTTAGTTTATCAGATACGTATTGACAACTGCCTCTTTAAAGCCTGATTTCCATTTCAGCATTAATGCAGGACTGGGAAAGCAGATAAACACTACTCAGGAGATAACCTTAACCCTCAAGTCAGGTTATGCTAATCTTATTTGAAACCATTTGCAAGCAATTTGTCTATTTCACCCCAAATGCCACAATATTTAGCAATACATATTGCATGGTTTCAGAAGTACTTTAAACTGTCAAACATGAGAGCAAAATATTATTTTGAAAAATAATACATCATTGCACCCTCTTTTCACTGTTTTTTTTTTTAATTTTCATTATCTAGTTAGGAAGTAGGCAGGGAGGGAGGCAGGGAGGGAGGGAGGGAGGGAAAGAGAGGAATGAGCAACAAGCAGAGAAGAAGAGGAAGAAGAGAAAAGGAAAGGAGATGGGAAGGAAAAAGAGAAGGAAAAGAGGAGGAAAGGAAAGATGAGAGAAGCTAAAATCATTCCTACTTGCTGGGTTCAGTCCATCTTTTTCAAGATTTTCCTTTGAGAGAGGATAATGCTATCATCCTTCCAGGGTTATGGTGGGAACTAAATGGAATGCAACCAGCAAGGTATCTTACGTGTACTTAAGTAGCAATAGTTAAAGCATCATGGTACTTTCCATCCCTATAAGGTGAAAACTCCTTTATATGGGGCATCAGCCACCAGGAAAGACAATCTGAGATCACTCACCCCAATTAGTATTGTTTGGGAAACTGCTGCCATGCGTCATGCTTGTTAACATAGGTGTTCACAGTGCACATTCCCACCTAGACTGACTCAAGTCTATGAGTATCATGTCTAAAAAGGTTTTTGTGCATTTAACATTTTAAAAAGAGAATTAGCTCATGTGAATTGAGCTGCTATAAACATTGATTTGGCTGCATTACTATAGTATGATGACTTTAAATCCTTTGGGTATAGACTGAGGACAGGGTAGCTGGGTCAAATGGTTGTTCCATTCCAAGTTTTCTAAGGAATCTCCATGCTGCTCTCCAGAGTAGTTGCACCAATTTCCGTCCCAGCACCAATGTAGGAGTGTGCTTTCCCCCCACACATCCTCACCAACGTTGATTGCTGTCTATATTCTTGATAACTGCCATTCTGACTGGAGTGAGATGAAATCTTAAAATAATTTTGATTCACATTTCTCTAATTATGAGACACATTGAACATTTTTTTTCATATATTTGTTGATCAAATGTATATCTTCCGAGAAGTGTCTGTTCAACTTCTTAGCCTATTTATTGATTGGGTTGTTTGTTTTTTTGGTGTTAAGTGTTTTGAGTTCTTTATATAACCTGGAGATTAGTGCTCTGTCTGACATGTGTGTGGTAAAAATTTGCTCCCAAAACGTAGGCTCTCTCTTCACCTCATTGATTCTTTCTTTCGCTGAGAGAAAGCTTTTTTAGTTTGAGTTCATCTCATTTATTAATACTTGATTTTATTTCTTGTGCTTTAGGAGTCTTGTTAAGGAAGTTGGGGCCTAATCCGATGTGATAATGATTTGGGCCTACTTTTTCCTCTATGAGGCAAAGCAGCTATGGACTAATTCCTAGGTCCTAGATCCACTTTGAGTTGAGTTTTGTGCATGGCGAGAGAGAGGGGTTTACTTTCATTTTGCTGCATATGGATTTCCAGTTGTTCTAGCACTATTTGCTGAAGAGGCTATATTTTCTCCAATGTATGTTTTTGGCGCTTCTGTCTAGTATGAGTTAACTGTATTTATGTGGGTTTGTCTCTGTCTTCTATTCTGTACCAATGGTCTACATGTCTATTTTGGTGCCAGCACCATGCTGTTTTGTTACTATAGCTTTGTAGTATAGTTTAAGGTCTGGTATAGCAGCTCAATTCACAATAGCTAAATTGTGGAAGCAACCTAGATGCCCTTTAATAGATGAATGGATAAAAAAAAAAACTGTGATATATATACACCATGGAATACTTCTCAGCATTAAAAGAGAATAAAATTATGGCATTTGCAGGTAAATTGATGGAGTTGGAGAATATCATGTGAAGCAAAGTAAGCCAATCCCCAAAACCTAAAGGCTGAATGTTCTCTCTTATAAGTGGATGTGGTGGGTGGGAAGGGGATGGGAAAAATGGAGGAATTTTGGGCAAGGGGGAAGGACAGGTGGGAAGAGGGAAGGGGGAAAGGAAGGATGGTAGAATGAGATGGATATCATTATCCTAGGTACATGTATGACTGCACATATAGTGTGACGCTACGTCATATACAACCAGGGAATCAATTATGTACAATGAATCATAATGCATTATGCTGTCATATATACCTAATTAAAATAAATAAAGAAATTTTAAAAAAAAACTCTTAAAAGAAAGAATTAGTTCAAGCTATCAGGCTATCCTTACCCAATACCTACTGTAAATGTTTCAGTTATAGTGTAGGTGGCAAAGTGAATATCAATTTTACTTTGTATAACTTTCAATAATTTAAAACACATCAGTTTACATTCTCTCAGTAATTTCTTGCAGTAACATTGTTGGATATGCAAAGTGATATTAAACCAATTTTAATCTGTAAAAACATGAAAGCCACAACTCACCAGTAATGAAAGCATATCTAAACCCCAGATTTCCAAGCTCTTTATCCATTCCTTTGACCCCTACCACACTGCTTCCCCAGGCAATATTTATAAAACAGAATTCTCCCTCTTATCAAGGCCAGCACGATTGGCCATGAGAATTGCTATAAGAAAATTATTGTCCTTAATTCATAACTTTCAAGGGAAAATATGTTTCCTCTCAGAGTCTGTTGACTCCAGGAACATTATTTGAGCTCATATTTTACAGAGCTGGACTTTCAAATTCCACAAGGTGAAGCTACCACTTATCACAATGGCAAGAGAGGACATGGCAAAATAAACCCACTGAACAAGGGCAATTAATATTATTTTATGAGGTAACATAATTCTGAGGGGGAAAAAGCATTAAAATCAAATGCCCATGTTGCTCCTTTGATTTACATCTTTGGTATTCAGGTATCCAAAGTGGATTTGTTCATCTGTGGGACTGTATTCATGTTTTTGTGGTTTAGTTTCGCTTTAGAAATATCTTCAACATTCTTTTTTAAAAAAAAACTTAGCACTTGTTTACTTGCCTCATGGAACTTTTTAAAAAGCACACAAATATTTCATGTATAAATTCCCATTGGTAGAGATGCAAATAATATAGAATTCATAACAATAAGTGAATGCTCTTTTTGTCACATACCTATTAGTAATAAGGTGAATAGTTTGCCTGTTTCTAGTCTACATACTTATATAAATATGTGTACAGATACTTATAAATATGCAGTGATACTGAATGTATTATACTGTTTTATTTTATTTATTTTCCCTTACTTTTTTCTCAAAAATATATCTTGGGGATCTTTCAGTCTGCATGTTTATGTATTTGGGTGTGTTATCTATGTGTGTGTGTGTACACCTGTGTGTACTTAATACATGTGCTTAGAGTTTGAAAACACACATCCTATTTCATCAGTGAATATGGCAAAGTAAATACAAACATTCCATTAATGATGGATATTCTGGTTGTTTCTGATTTTCAGTGAATGAAACAATGCTGCAATAACATCACTGTATGTTAATTTCCTCCTCCTGTGAGTTTATACTTTTCTACAATACATTCAAGAGGTAAAGTTGAAGGAATAAAAAAAATGCCTACTTTGTCAAACTGTAGCCCAAAAAGTTTCATCAATTACTCTCTCAATCATGCATGAAGCTATTGTTTTTACCACACAGTCACCAACACAGACTATAATCTTTTAAAATTCTCCTCCAATCCAATGCATGAATAGGATGATTTAGTCATTGTAAAGAATTTCCTTCGCATTACCAACATGACATATCTTCAGAGGAATACTAATAATGTGCCATTGTCTTTGAGTTAGTTACTTAACCTCTTGGTGTCTGAATTTTATTACCTCTAAAATGAGGATAAGGAATAATGCCTACTTCATATGGCATCTCCTGGTTTTCTATTTGTGTTCTTCTTTTTCAAATGATGTTTTGGTCACTTAACACACACTTAATGAGCACCGACAGTGTTTCCAGGCATATTCTAGGTGTGGGGATTATGTGGGGGAACAAGATCAAGTGGTCACTCTCATGAAGCTTATGTACATACATCCTGGTGGGGTGGCAGATAATATAGAGATGCAAATGGATAACATTGTTTCAGGCTGTTTATGATGAAAATAAAAATCAAGCAAGGTTTGGGCTAAGAAACTAAGTATACTATGGTAGATATGGCAGTCAAAAAATATTTCTGTGATGGGGAAATGTGGTAGAGACATGAAGGAGGTGAGCTTCAATGCTGAGAGGGGATAGCAATATTCACAGAATATTGGAGAATTAATGTGCTGATGCAGAGAGAATGAGGGTGAGGACAAAGACAGATGGTAGCTAAGAGGAGCCAGGGACAAGATCCTGAGTGCCTCATAAGACAGGAGGAGGAATTTCAATTTTATTTAAATACAGAGGAAAGCCAGAGCACTGGCCTCTGAATTGCTAAACTGTAAGTTAAAAAGAAAATTAAATGCTAAGTTTCCTATTCCAGCCGAAGCCTCCAAACAACGTCCACTTGCCCTCGTAGCAGCTCACAACAAAGAAAAGCCCATATTCAGCAATCAGAGCTTCTCTCACAAGCACAGATTCTAAAAAGCAAAGCTAAACAGAGTCATCAAGTTGTGGAATCGTGTCCCTGACCTACACCCACAACCCCAAAGCAAGCCTTGTTCTTTCCTGCACTGCCCTTTGCTAGCTGATGGACCAGGAGCAGGAACCCTGGCAGGGTTCAGCCACCGAAGTGGAAAAGAAGATCCGCTGCAGGAACACCAAGATCAGGCAGGGAGGCACACGGCTCGCCTTCAGATGGAAAGCCTACCTTTGCAGATGGTCCCGTTGCCCACGTAGCCTGGTTTGCAGGTACAGCTGTGTCCCTGGACCGTGTTGGTGCAGATGGCATTCTCGTCACAGTTGTGCTGTCCGCTTCCACATTCATCGTGCTCTGTCAGTGGGTAGAAGAGAAAGAGACATCTTTTCTTAGGTTGGAATTACTGGTATCAGAATTTAGCTGGAACTCACCAGCAAGAATGACAGTGACTCCCATGAGTGGGGAACCTTACTATGTACGTACCTGTTAGTTTCCACACCTGATATGTTTGAAGTCTCAGTGACTCTGAAAGATGGATGCTATTATCCCCAATTTGAGGATAAAGAAAAACAGTGTCAGAGCTGTCACACAAAGTCACACAATTGGGAAGCAGTACTCTCAGGCCACAGCTTCCTTCACCTTCTGTAAAGATTTCCACAGAAGTTCCAAGGCAGGGGTTCTCAGCAGGTGGTGATTTTGCACAGCTCCTCTGGAAACAGTTGATGATAAGTGCTACTGGAATCTAGTAGCTAGAGACTGGAGATGCCGATGAGCATCTTTCGAAGAACAGGAGAATCCACACAACAAAGAAGTAACCAGTCCAGATATCAACAGTGCCACCGTTGGGACATCTTCCTCCAATTTATCATGATAAATTGCTTGGCTTCTTTAGTACAAAGGGGGTCAAACTGAAGAGGAAGAAGGCCCAGACAATATACTGTATGTACCAAAGGACATTTACAACAGGTCTCTTAAAAGGAGTAATTCCTCTCACAGGGGATGTTGGTGAACACAAATGGTGCTGAGTAGGAAAGGGATTTACTCTCAGGACTCGTCGATTCTAATTCTCCGTAAGGTGCATAATCTAACCTCAGAGTGGTTTCCTGATACGTGGTGATGTTGTTATATAGAGTCAAATAGCTGCAGCATCCTTAATCCGTAATGGAGGGAAATTAATCCGACTACAAATGGACTAAAGCAGTTCAAGTCAGACCAAGATATCATGGCTAACTATCCTTTCCTCTTGTAACCAAAAAGTTTATAGAGTTATCCAACTGACCTCTATAAATAAACAACATGGGAAAGTTAACACCCTTTAATATATATCAGTGTGACTTTTTAGAAATGTGAAGAAGAAAACTCTGGTAAAGTCATCAAATTTATAAAAGGCTATAAAACAGGAATAAAAATTTCAGCTAGAAACATCAAAGAAATACCACTAAGCAAACAAAACTTAAAATTGAGCATAGTTTTGATACATGAATTGTTAAATCAATAGACTAATCAGTTGAAATCTCCATTTTCATTAATTTTTTACTTTAAATTTCCTATTGGGATCTAATAATGAAAAAGATTAAATTCACAAAATAGAGCTGTTTTAGTAACGGATACACAATTGAGGTAAAGCACACACCTGCATCTGATTTGAGTTGATACCTAAGATTTTCCAAAAAAATATTTTTCCTTTAGGCTTCAAGACCAACCCAAACCGTCACTGAGAAATGTGCACAGGTTAGAAAGCAGTGAGAAGGGAAGGGAAGATTTATAAGGACACACTTCCAGACTGTCTAAAGCCATCTCCAGCAAGCCCCAGAAGTAGTATAAACCTGTAGATGTCAAATCCAATGTACCGACCTATCGGGCACCTAGTTCGTACAGGTAAAAAACAGAAATTTTGAGGGCCCAAAAAATGTAGGGACCTAGGCTTAGAATCCAAAGTTTACAGTCTCCTTATTTAAATTCTTTTCATAAGCAATTATTAGGGTCTATACTGAGAATACAAAGTAGATAGTATCTTTGATCATATGAACTTGTTCATAGGGGCCATCACACACCAATATGTAACTAAATAGGAACACAAGAGAGAAGTGATGAGTTTTAAGGAGGTGACTTCATATTTTGTCACACAAACAGGATGTATTTTAAAGAGAAAGAGTGTTCTATTAATAAAGATGCTAGGATAATAGACATAATTCAGAATAACCTAGGCAAACCAGCATGTGTGGTCATGCTAGATAAGAAGAATAGAGATAATCTGAGGCTGCCTCATCTTGATAAACCAGTTGAAATACTACCTGACAGATTTTTCTCTTCTCGTCATTAGAAGCTAGTATTTCAACGGGTCTTTCAAGAATGGCCATGATTTTCTCAGCCAGAGTCACTCAAGGGCACACAAGGCAGAAGAGCAGAGTGGAGAAAGACACAGTTTTAGGTAACATCCAAAAGCCTGGTGCATCTTTGCCTACCTTCCCTTGACCCCTAGTCCTCTTTTTGATGAGGCAACCTCACGACTGTCCTGAGAATGATTTCATGCCTACCTCTCCAGCTTTTTCATGCTGCTTCCCTGACCCGAAATACTCTCCCCCAGGGTAGCTGGAATATGTGTGTCCCTGCCTGGCTTCAGACACCACTTCAAACCCACACTCTTGTCAAGGAGCCATCTACACACACCTTGAGACCGGGGAAAACCTCAAGCATCTTGGAGATTTATGAAATTTAATATCTTTACCTTGTTGGAGGCAGTCATATCACAGTATGTTGTAGTATTTGCAAGTTTTAACATTAATGTTTTAATGAACTCATGAACTTTGCAGAGAGAAATTGTGACATAATTTCTGAAGCCCTCATTTTACCAATTAGTTTTTTATATAATGAGTGGTATTGAACTTAGAATTCCAAGCACTGGAATGAATATATATTGAATAAACTGAGACAAAAGGATGGTAAACAAGCTTTTCACATCACAAAATTTGTAGATAAGGGAGCTCAGATTTGTGAATCTACATACCAGGTGAATCACCACCTTGATGAGCAGTTGCTGGAAGTAATTTGAATGTGGCTGAAACTAAACCAGGACATGTGGAAATGATTTCATCATGTCAAAAATGAAGGCTCTCTTCTGTGCTTGTTCCAAATTCTCACTGCAATCTCTTACAGTCTTCCCAAGAATATAAAACCTGTTACTGAATGACAAAGACTACAAAACTTCCATATCTCAGTATCTTTCATCTCAATCAAATTTGCAAAATGACTAGCACCTTCAAAACTGTTTGGTGGAAATGGACAAAGAAGACATGATTGCCTTCTAAATATATCAAATTCCTTTCCAGCTGTTGGAAATGCTGCAGAAGGTATAAGACAGGTTCTCATGAGAGTTATCCTGGCACAGAGGTTAAAAGCACAGACTCTGGAACCACCAGCCTTGGTTAGATGGTGCATTTGACAATTACTAGCTATGTGCACTACAGTAAGTTATTTAGTCTCTTTGTGTCTTAATTTCTTCATTGCAAAATATAAATAAACGTATTTCCTGATATTGTTATGAGGATTAAATTAGCTAATATGGGGAAAACACTCATAGTACATTGCTACTAGTAAGTGCTCCATAAAGGTAAGCTATTTTATTATCACCATTGTATTACTATTATTACCACCACCACCATCACCACAGCCTCCTCCACTAAATTACTCCTCCTCCTCCTCCTCCTCCTCCTCCTCCTCCTACTACTACTACTACTACTACTACTACCACCTACTACTACACAATTACTTCTGGGAAGACTTAATTGTCACATGATAGCAAAAATTGGTTGAGAAAACTTTGTCTTTCCTTAACAGGATGGTCATTCCTGCAGAAAGACTGAACACATAGGCAGTTGAAGAAAATTAAATTAGGGGCTAGGCTGTGGCTCAGTAGTAGAGTGCTTGCCTAGCACATGTGAGGCCCTGAGTTCGATCCTTAGTACCACATAAAAATAAATAAATAAAATAAAGTTTAAAACAAGAAAATTAAATTAGAATCTTTTTGAAAGTCCAAAGAAATATTAGGGTCAATTATGGTCCTTAGGAAACAAGACTATAGATTGGGAATGTGAAGAATGTGAATTTAGGACTGTAAAGCCTGAGTCTGGTTTTAGTATATCTGGAAGATCCAAACTCTCACGTGGATAACGACTGTGGCAGCAAGCTGTCTCTCCAATACGTATCCTTGCCCCCGCTAATATTTGAGCACTCATCAAGCACAGGCATTATCGCATACTTCCTTTCTCTTGCCTTCTCCTTTCTATTCCACGGTACATGTCAGAAGGACTCTAACTTCTCCACATCTGTCACCGTGACACCAGCATCAACGTCCATTGCCAACCAAAAGGTTGTTTTCCTTAGTGAACTAGTTAGGACCCGACCCCCACCAAACAGGTGCTGCAAGTGTGGCTCCAAATGTCCCACGTGTGAGGTTTAGATAATCCCTCATGTATGCATACCTTACAAAATTGTTGCAACTACCCCCACGTCACACTCTCCTTGTATTTGCATTCAGTTAACACTCTTCTATACCTGTTCACCCTCAGCAATCATCTCCTGGTCAAGCACTAATCTGTTCTCCACCCCTACAGTTTATCATTTAGAGAATGTTATATAAATGGAATTATACAGGAAGTCAATTTTGAGATTTTTGACTCTTTTCACTAAGCATAATGTCTTTGAGTTCAATACAAATTGTTCTATATGTTAATAGTCCATTCCTTCTTATTCCATTGTTCAAGGTACTAAAATTTATTCAACCACTCACACAATGAAGGACACTTGAATTGCTTCCTGTATTTTGCTATTATGAATAAAGTTGCTGTGAACATCTGTGCACAGGTTTCAGTGTGAACATATGTTTTTAGTGTTCTGGGATAAATGCCCAAGAGTGTACTTGCAGGATCATCTGCTAAGCACATGTTTAGTTTTGTAAGAAAGTGCCAAACAAATTTCCGAAGTGGATCTACTAATTTACATTGCCATCAACAATGTACAAGTGGTCTGTTTTTTCCACATCCTTGCCAGAATTTCATGTTGTCACTAGTTTTTATTTTAGCTATTTTGATAGATATTTAGTAATACTATATCATGATTTTACTTTGCATTTTGCTAGCTTCTAATGATCTTGAACTTCTTTCCACATGTTCATTTGCCATCTGCATATACTCATTGGTACATATGTATTATCTTTTTGCTTATTGATAAACTTGACTGTTTTATATTGTTGAGTTTGAGAAATTTTAATATTTTCTAGATATATCTTTTATAAATACGTGGTTTGCCAATATTTTCTCATGTCTCTAGCTTGTATTTTTATCCTCTTAGCATAA